GACAAAGCATCACCTACAGAAGTTATTGCAAAAGTACTGTTCTTTGTGACACAAGTCAGAAATTTTATTGGTTCGCTGAATTGGAAATGAAACAGAAGGAGTAAGGTAGTGGTAGTAGTAGACCGGTAGTATTGAAAAGCAAGGAAACGCGACATACTATGAGACTCATTCGACTAAACTAAATCGTGTGATATATGATACGGTGTACAACATGACCATCATCATCGTGGAGGACAATGATGATGCCAGCTTCATCAAGGTTAGTGGTTTTAGTAGCTGCTCTGAATTATCAAGGGACCATTGGCTGGTGCGAGGTTCTCTTCTAACGTGATCTGCAGACCCGCCAATACTAATGATAATCCCGATCGATTGGTATTGTCACCATCGGAAAACAAGGATGACTTCCATACTTCACCAACCACCACGATTGCAGCGACAAACACACTAACAGCAGAGCAAACGTAAAAGCTTCTAGCTGCACAATCCTTCATGCCTGACTCATCCACAGGGACAGTTTTTAAAGGAGAAAAGCTTCGTGATTTCTCACATCCAAAGGCACTGCTACAAAAGACAATAAGTCATGCAATAACTGATCCGTTGCCTTTTAAGAATGACTTTAAAGGCAAATGCACCAAGTGGGGTGTGGTGACTACTATCTTTGATCCTACAGAAGCTATATCGAGAGTCTCAAAATTGCCTGAATGGTGTTTGGTGGTGGTAGCAGATACCAAAACACCTGATGATTACATGGAAAAGTTTAAAACATTGTTGGGTGGTTCAGAAGGATCTACATTTTTCTTTTTGGTGGAACGCCAAAAGAAACGGGAGCGACTTGATGGACCTATCGGTGCCTTTGTTAGAGTAATGCCCTGGAGGCACTTCGGCCGAAAGAATTTGGGGTATTTGTTTGCGATACTTCATGTGGCAGATTTCTTTTTTGATTTTGACGACGACAATTATATCAAAGTGGACGAGTCAACAGGCGAGCCCGTTGAAATTCTTCCATCAACGACAGTACTCGATAATGTGGTGGTAGCAATGTCGGGGCCAACAGCTTTCAATCATCATCCAATGATGAAGCCATCGATTCCGGCTCCATCTTGGGCTAGTGGTTTTCCTTTGGAATACATAAAGGACGAAGCAACGGAAGGGTAGCCAGCCTTTAGCCAGTCGATACGATTTGTTTCCAAATTGAACTTCATCGGAGTGATTCAGTTATTGGCCGATGGAAATCCTGATGTTGATGCCACCCTCCATTGCCAATGACATTCGACAACAGTGAAGGTGCAACAAACGTCCTTGTTCCAAAGCACGTGTATAGCCCATACAATGCTCAAGCTTCAATTCATACAAAACCTGCCCTTTGGGCAACGTTACTTCCTACAACCGTCCCAGGTCGTGTTTCGGATATTTGGAGATCGTATTTTGCTCAGTGTATTTTTGCTGACCCGAACCTTCGGCTAGTTTTTGCACCACCAAAGATTGAACAAATACGAAACGACCACAACATTCTGGGTGACTTTACGGCTGAAAACGACCTCTACACAAAAAGTGGAAAGTTGATTGATTTCCTATCTAGTTGGGACTCTGAACATCTCCATGTTCCCCAGCGAGTGGAACAGCTATGGATTGATTTGTACGAAAGATCATACATTGAATTGGATGGTGTCTTGGCGTTGCAAAAGTGGCTGGAGGCATTGATCACAATGGGATACAGGTATCCCGAGTTGAAGCCTAGATTCCGTAACGTCCCACTGATGGGTCAGTTCAATTTTGCAGACTTTCCCAACAGCATGACTCAAATCATGATGTTGATTCAGAAGATGAGAGAGCGCTTTCAAACAACCATTGCTGCAGCTCCACTCAATGAAACCCAGTTGGCGTACTTAGAGACATCGTATAGACGCCATACCAAGCCAAGGATTTGAAACTGAGAAAAAGGGATCACCTAGGTTTCTACAACCCACTTAGCAACTTGATGAGGACTTTGCTGCGCTTTGAAAACTCGTCGACAGTGCTTTATGCCCATGATGACGCCCTGCTGAACCTAACCGAGCTATCAGAAGGAAAGTATCCTTTCCCGACCGACAAGATCATCGCCAATCGAATAAAGGGCGAGCTTAGTAATTCCGCACATGTTGATCTAAGGACCATGCCTGATAGAGCAAAAGCAAGGACACTTTCCCATCGCGTTTTCCCCAATGGCACAATAAGTGATATCGACAAGACGATTTTTGTGAACACATCAAGCGAGTTAAAGAAG